CGCACACACACTGCACACACGCACACATGCACACACATGTGCACACACATGCACACACGCACACACACATGCACACACGCACATATGCACACATGTGCACACATACACACATGCACGCACATGCACACACATGCACACAAGATATGTACACTTTGACTCAGAAATTCCACTAACAAACTTAAAAATAGGGCAGGGAATGGTGGCTCGTGCTTGTAATCCCAGCTATTTGGGAGACAGAGATTAGGAGAATTGCAGTTCAAGGCCAGCCCGGACCCCATCTCAACCAACAAGCCAGGCATGGTGGCATGCAGCTGTCCTAGCTACATAAGAGGCAACAAGAGGATCATAGTCCAGGGTGGCCATGGCAAAAATGTGAGAACCTACCTGAAAAACAAACCAGAAAAGGGCTAGAGGTGTGACTAAGGTGGTACAGCGCCTGCTTAGCAAGCATGAGGTCCTGAGTTCAAACCCCAGTATCACACAAAAAAAAAAAAAGACTCAAAAGTATATGTACAATGGGCAAATATACACACAGCCATATTCACTGCCACAGGCAGTACGATAACTGTAACTCCAGACTGAGTAGAAGATGCAGTGAGCAAAAGGTTTTGTAAATTGTGTTCCCATTTATGTAAAAAAAAAGTAGGTATAAAATGTACACACACACACACACAGTCATATATATGCATATAAATTCTGGAAGAATTGATTATAACTTATCAGAGGTTGAGTTTTCATTGCACTTGTGCAGTTTTCTTTTTCTACCACATGTAGGGATATCTTTTGAGCTAAAAATATTCTTTAAAATATATAGTATAAACTGGCATGTGAAGCCAGCTTGGGCTCCATGCTGAGTTCAAGGGCAGCCTGGGCTGCATAGCAAGACCCTGTCTCAAAACAACAAAGAACAAAAACAAAGGCTGGGATGTATCTCAGCAGTAGAGCACTTGCCTAGCGTGTAAAAGGCCCTGGGTTCCATCCTCAGCAGTGCAAAAAAAAAGATGTGTATAGATATATATTTTTTTACTTATATATATAATATATATGTGTATATATCCATATATGTTATATATTATGTGTATTATATGTATAAGTGTGTATGTAATTTACTTTTATATATAATATATACATTTGCTTTTTATATAACATACAATATTATGGTAGTGGTTATATGAATATATATGTGTTAAAAATCATAAAATTGTGAACTCCAAAAGTACCTTTTACCACTAGATAACAGCTAATCCTTCCATACCTATTGAAAATTATTGTATAGAGTAGATATTCTGACATAATCATAGTTTTGCTTTTACTATACATTGAGATAATAGCTTCTGTAAAACTTCTAAGTGAACCCATCTTTAAAGACTGGCTAATACTTAACTGAACATTTATGCATCCTGCTTTCCAAAAATGCATCCAGATGCATTTGGAAAGTGGTAGAACATAGCTGATGTGAGCAGTTTTCACACCTGGTTACATACACAGTGCACCAGTCTCCTGGAGGTTATGGTGCTGGAGTCTACTGTTGATAAGCCACTGGCTTAGAAGAAGGTTCTGTAGAAGTTCTGAGAAGGGGGGTCAGCACCAGTATAGGAGGAGTGAGCAATATGGGTGAGGCACTGACTGCGCCTTAATGAATGGGGAGTTTGATGGCCTGAGAGATCAAAATGAGTGAGCACCTCCAGGCAGGATGGGTGTACCACATGTCTAAGTGAGGTGGGGGTTCGTGTCGAGTGCTGCGTTTCAGGTAGCAGGTATTGAAGACCTCCGAAGCCTCTCAAGAAGCTCCAAGCACCCTCCAATTCACTCTGGCCTGTCACTTAAGCATCAGTGAGTCAGACTGAGGCCTTCCATCAGCAGAGAGGGTGGTAACGGCTAAATGTGGTGATCCTCACCACCTCCTCACCCTACGCCTCCATCTCCTTGAGCCAGGGTTGCAAGGAAGCGATTCCCAGCACCTTGTGACTGTGCAAGTCCTGATTTGTCCCTTCTGTTCCAGCGGTCACCTGCCCCCCCAACAGCCACTATGAGAGTTGTGTGAGCGTCTGCCAGCCCCGCTGCGCTGCAATCCGCCTGAAGAGCGACTGCAACCACTACTGCGTGGAGGGCTGTCAGTGTGACACGGGCTATGTCCTCAACGGCAAGAGCTGCATCCTGCCCCACAGCTGTGGCTGCTACTCAGACGGCAAATACTACGAGGTACAGACGGGAGGCAGCGCCTTGAGACTGTGGGGCTCCTGCCAGGAAGGTGGGCCGGGGCAGAGGTCAAGTAAGGCTCAGAGGAAGCTCTTGCTCACTAGGAGATCTGGAAGACCCTCCTCCCTCCTCCACATGGTCAAGGCCTGCTACTCTCTGTCCTGTCTTTCTCTGGAAGCCTAGGCACCCCCCCCCCGAGTTCTTCTATAAATCTGAGTTTGCAAGATGTGGCTCGACTTTGGAAATAGAGGGGTTATGAATCTGACATTTGTAGCTGTCTTAACCAAGGACATTTTAAACTGGAAAATATGGCGCTCCATGCTAGGGAGAGAGGCTTTCCCTCTAGCTATTGAACCCCGCCCCCCCTTGCTTCCTTCTCTCTCTGTGGAGGCTTAAACAGAAAGCTGGTGAAGAGGCCCTTCATTGGTGTTTCCTAAGAAAACATATTAGCTCACTTCTTAGACTTCGCATACTTTTTGTTTGTTTGTTTTGGGCCGTCTTTGGAGATGGAACCCAGGGCCTTGCACATGCTGGGCAAGTGCCCCCACTATTGCAATCTTTTTAAATGTTCCATTTTACTAGGCATGAAACGGTCTTGCCAGAGAAGATCTTCAGTCTGTTTAAAAATCACCAAACCTTATGTGGGTGAGTAGACATTTAACCCCAAATACTGAATATCTGCTACTTGCCAGCCACTGTGTGGTGACAAAGCATGTTCCCTGCCTTAAAGAACTTGATAATCTATTCAGGAAAGAAAATGAATGTACTCTAAAGAACAATTACAAAATAACATATCAACAAGTGAAAAATAATACCCCACAGAGCGGATCAATTTTAAATGAAAGAAAGAAGTAGCATTTAAAAGAAATCTAATTGAAATGCCTGAACTGGAAATCAACTAGGCAGATAAATAATGTCTGGTTTTTCTAAAGATGCATTAACTTATTCAAGAAAAACTAAGTTGCCTTGATTTGGGGAATAAATAAAAGAACAGGAGTGTGAATATTTACTTTGATTTCATTTTCACTGGAAAATGTATTTCAAGGTTATGTTACACAGGAAGAAAGCAGAGTAGAACTAACCGAAGAGGACGTCTCAGGGGCGGTAATATTTAAGTTAGCTCACCGAAGTATTATTTGAGGCTGGGTGTGAGAGGCATAGGTAGAAGTATCATGGTTCAAGGTCAGTTTCTGGCAAAAAACTTGAAACCTTATCTAGAAAATAACTAAAGCAAAAAAGGGCGAGGAGTGTGGCTGAAGGCAGTAGAGCACCGGCCTAGCAAGCAGGAGGCCCTGAGTTCAAACCCCAGTACCAACCCCTTCCCCCCCAAAAAATACAGATTATTTGAAAGAAAGAGAGGAAAAGCAGAAGTATTAGAAAATAAAATCAGTTTTCTTATAAGCTGGGAGAAGATATAACCAGGCTCAAAATTTAAAGGACTTTCTTCTAATACTCTGCTTTCATTCTGGAGACTGATCAAATGTTATCTGTCCATCCACTCTGTCAGGCAACCCTCAGCAGGGATCCCGAGTGTCAGTGTGGCCTAAGGGATGAAACCTTGTGTTTGATCCTAGCTGTGCCACTGCTGGAAGTGTGACATTGAACCAACTGTGTCATTTCTCTGAACTTCTGTTTCCCTGTGAATGAAGTGTGGCTAAAAATACCAACTCAGTAGGGCTGTTGTTGTATAAGTAATCTATAATCTATGCTGGGTGACTGGCCTAATACCTGTCACCTAGTCATTCAATAATTGGCAGCTGGTGGTGTTGTTGCTGTTATTCTCACGAGAAACATTTTGTAAATAAAGAATCCAGGCATGTTAACGAAACGATGCATATAAAAAGCCCTCAAGAAAGGCGCAGTAGAGCTCTCTCGGCTATTAGTAATATAAACATTATTATCTGTTTTTCATCAGAAAGTCAGTGGGTTCTGACAATAGCTTGTATCTGGGAAGCAGCAAACTCACAGAATAAGTAATCCACTGCCACTTGTCACAATTCAAGCAAGCTCGGGGGCTTGTTTATATAGCAGATTTCTCTGGAAATAAAGAGAGAACACATCCAGCCATTAGCAAGTAGGGTAATCACCCAGCTGTCCTTGTCATGTCTAATTAAGGTAAAGAAAGTGGCATGGGGCCAGCTGCTTTCCTGCCATGTGAGTTTCATGATCAAGTTCACCAGGGATGGGTTATTTACCCTTGATCATGTCCATATATATCAGGTTATTTTTCTCTTTCCACCAATGTAATGTCTGAGTTCTTATCAGAGAGAGGCCAGACCAAACACTCAATTATTCTGTAAATCTGATAAATGAAGTTGATTTGTGAGGTTGCTGGCACCAGGAATATGTTATAAATCTGCAGGAAAAGAGGACTTGGTTCCAGGAACTCTTTACTCTGAGGATGAAAGAATCAACAATGGTATCTTGAAGTATATTAGATTGGAAGATTTCATCCCTTTATTTATTTACCCTTGAATCTGAATCATAGCTGTAGTTGGTTATCAGGATCTTGATAAGTCTATAGTTAAAGCAGAAAACAGTGACCAGACAGAATCAGAGGCCTTTTTGTGCCATTAAAACATCTTTTCTGGATAGCACTGTTTGGTAAATTGATACAAGCTATGCACCTTTAATCTGAAAATCTGAAATCCATTATATTACAAAATACAAAATCTTTTGAGCACTGGCCACAAATAAAAATTTTCACATCATGACAGAATTTTAAAAATGTTACACTAAGTTACCGTCAGGCTATATGTAGAAGATACATATGAAACATAAATTAATTTTGTGCTTAGGCATGAGTCCTATACCCAAGACATCTCATTATATATATACACTCATATATATACACACATATATATATATATATATATATGCGAATACTCCAAAATCTGAAAGCAAACAAAATCCAAAACAGTCTTGGCCTGTAGCATTTCAGATAAGGGATATTCAACCTGTAGTGCATTGAGTGCCCACATCTCTATCTTATAGTTTACTTATCACGGCCACACCTGATTTGGACAGTCATGACCAATCTCCACCAGTTTCCTGGGATTCTTAGTCTAGAATAAATGCAAAATCAGAGTACAAACTTCAAGTAGAGTTCTGTCTATAGATTTTTATCTGTGTAGGAAGAATAGAAAATAGTAGCTGCCTCTCCTTAAGGATACACAATGTTGTAGTATTTTAATAATTTTATATAATTCCCTCACCATCAGAAGAAGAATGAGTGAATCTTCTGCATTAATAAATGTAGTTACTATTTATTGAATGCTTACTCTATATGCCAGAAAAAATGCTTTCATGTCTTATTTAATTTGACCTTTACAACTTCTCTGAGGATATGATTATGACCTCCAATTTAGAGATGAACAAACTGGGCGGAGGATGTCGCTCAGTGTTAGAGCATTTGCCTAGCATACGTGAAGTCCTAGGTGCAATCCCAAGACAGCCCATGTAGGGTGACAGGGTTGAGATTGACACCCAAGAGGCCTGATTCCAACTCTTAATCTTTCATGTTGTGCACAGGCTCTCTCAGAGAAATGGGGGGGGGGAGGGTACATGCAACAGAAAATCAGAAGTAGGCTAGACCAAGAGTGAATATTATGGGGCGTTGAAATGGGTTAGTCCTAACACTTGCCCATCACTTTCTTTGACTATTTGAGATAGAAAGATGGAATGCACTCATTCTTTGAGTGAATTTAAATTTCATCCTTGAAGTGGAGCCTGCACTTGTTAGAAGTGTGATTCCTTGTTTTTTTTTTTTTTAAACTACAATATATTTTCCTCTTCACCTATTTCCTCTAACAGCTGCGTATTCAGGTTGGCTGATTAGTTCTACAACCCAGCCATAAAGATTCCAGAGTTCTTGATTGAAACCCATAAAGTCTAAATTGCATATTATTTGGCATCTGAGTTGCACAGAACTGATGAGCATTTGAATGGGGACAAGCCTCCCTAAGGCTCCCTGTTGCAAACTCCAGCCTCATTAAAGACAGGCTAGGCCAGCCTGGTAAAGGGTCCAGATGGACTGGGCATTGGGGGTCCCCAGTCCTGACCACAGCCTGAGTTTAATGCAAATGGCAACTCTCTTCCAGCCCAAGCAGCTGTTCTGGAACAGCGACTGCACGCGGCGCTGTCGCTGCTTCCGGCGCAACCTGATCCAATGCGACCCTCGCCAGTGCAAGTCGGACGAGGAGTGCGCGCTGCGCCACGGGGTGCGCGGCTGCTTCAGCGGCGGGCGGCGGCGTCTTCCGCACCTTCGACGGCGCCTTCCTGCGCTTCCCCGCCAACTGCGCCTTCGTGCTGTCCACCATCTGCCAGAAACTGCCCGACATCTCCTTCCAGCTCATCATCAACTTCGACAAGTGGTCCTCCCCCAACCTCACCATCATTTCCCCTGTCTATTTCTACATCAACGAAGAGCAGATTCTCATCAATGACCGGAACACTGTCAAGGTGACAAACTTGACTGGCCTTGAGTCTTTAAGAAATGGGTCTGAGAAACAGGTGTTTGGCTAGTAGACTGCTTATGGGGGTTTTTCCAGATAACCAAGTTGTAGGATAATAGGTTACTGCTTCCTATTGCCATACAGGGATGACCCGATTTTAAAGAATAGAAGTGTAAAGATGCTGTGAACATAAGAATGGGCTCTCTGAACCTTCTGCTGTTGATTATGAAGGTCTGAGTGGGGAACTCAGTGTCTTGGGGCCGTAAGAGTAGCAAGGGTGGTTAATAGAGTTTCCAGTGATAAAATGTAGACAAATTAGCTTTTACTCTCAATTCAGTTCCAGAAAGCATCTAGTTTATTTTTAAGAGCTTCCAAATTATTCTTGGGTCTGCCCACCTGCTCCAAGACCAGTCTTCACCAACCCCCATCCTTTTTTTCAAAACAGGGAAGGCAGGCATTTTGCCTATAACCGCCATAACCTAAGCAAAACCCAGTGGAGCACTCCCCACCACCACCACACACACACTGTCAGAGTCCCCATGGTGACATACCAAGTGAAAGAAAATGGTGAATTCCTCTTAGATGGGCCTTATGCCCATTGACTGGTGTGTGTGTGTGTGTGTGTGTGTGTGTGTTGTTTTGGTGAATCTGAGACTTGCAGTAAATAAATGCGGCCCTTGGAAGCCTACAGCTAATATCTGAGTTGGATTCCTCCACTCCTTCCACTTAAGAAGAAAATCTTCTTTTATGAACTATTCACAGTGACCGATTATGAAGGTCTGAGTGGGGAACTCAGTGTCTTGGGGCCGTAAGAGTAGCAAGGGTGGTTAATAGAGTTTCCAGTGATAAAATGTAGACAAATTAGCTTTTACTCTCAATTCAGTTCCAGAAAGCATCTAGTTTATTTTTAAGAGCTTCCAAATTATTCTTGGGTCTGCCCACCTGCTCCAAGACCAGTCTTCACCAACGCCCCATCCTTTTTTCAAACAGGGAAGGCAGGCATTTTGCCTATAACCGCCATAACCTAAGCAAAACCCAGTGGAGCACTCCCCACCACCACCACACACACACTGTCAGAGTCCGCATGGTGACATACCAAGTGAAAGAAAATGGTGAATTCCTCTTAGATGGGCCTTATGCCCATTGACTGGTGTGTGTGTGTGTGTGTGTGTGTGTGTGTGTGTTGTTTTGGTGAATCTGAGACTTGCATGTAAATAAATGCGGGGCCCTCGGAAGCCCTACAGCTAATATCTGAGTTGGATTCCTCCACTCCTTCCACTTAAGAAGAAAATCTTCTTTATGAACTATTCACAGTGACCTCCAAGTCTCTTAGCGAAACCAGCTGGTCACAGCAGGTAGACCTGAAAACTGGAGCCAGTGTGAGCATAGACCCAGAGGAAGGCAGAAAGAGCCACGTTAACAACTTTTGGGTTTTTTGGGTGGGACTGGGGTTTGAATTCAGGGCTTCATGCTTACAAAGCAGGAGCCACACTTCCAGTCCATTTTGCTCTGATTATTTTGAAGATGTCTCACAAATTATTTGTCTGAGTTGGCCTCCAACCTTGATCCTCCTGATCTCAGCCTCCTAAGTAGCTAAGATTACAGGCGTGAACCACTGGTGCCCAGCCACACTTTTATTTATTTATTTATTTGTCATAGTGCCCTGTATCTGCTTTCCTTCATTGGTTCAAATAATCAGGCATTGGGTACATCTTTATTTGAAGAGTCATCAGATAGCTTAGTATCCAGTATTAGGCAAAAGACTGGTTGTATTTTACAGGTTTAAAGGGAAAAATCTGGATTTTAATGTGGGCTTTTAACTTCAATAAAAAAGCTGCTACTGTTTTTAACAACCCAATTCCTTTTGCAAATTGGCCCACTTGAACAGACTGCATGGGTCCAGAATACAGGAGTGAGAAATTGACCACTGAGAAAGCAAAATTGAGAGTGTTGCTGAAAAAAAATACCCTAAGCTAGCCAAAACAGTAAAGAAGCATCTGCTTTTTTTTTTTTTATGAAACAAAAGTTACTAATAACCTGAAGGGGAAAAAAACAATTTATTTTGTAAGAATAGGAAAAGCACGTTATGTTCTATCCCAAGGGCTAAGAAGAGAAATGTTATAAAGCAGGAAAATGATGAATGCAGAAAATACTGTGCCTATAGGACCTCTGGGGGGACCTCAGGTCTGAACATTAGAAAGAAGAACACAGTAAACATGGCAGTGGTCCCCAGATTCATTTTAACCGTGTTGGACTCCCCTCAGTGCAAGATTAGGATGTCATTTTCAGTAATTGGTTTATGTTGGGGAAAGTTTTGCACAAAGAATCTCAGTCATTCACTGAGGGTAAGACTGTCCTGACATTTTCTTCTCTTTCACCTTCTCCCTCTCTTCTCCATGATTTGCTTCCTTTGGGGGAACTGTAAGATGAATGCATGCCCTTAAACTCTAGGGCAAGGGATAGCAAACTATGACCTATGGCCACATACACTTGCTACTTGATTTTGTAAATGAAGTTTTATTGGAACACAGCCACACTTGCTTAGTTACACATTGTTGATGGCTGCCGTCAAGCCAGGAGGGCAGAGTTAGGTAGTTGTGTTAGAAATCACAGGGCCAGAGTCACCCGGCCCTTTACTGAACAAGTTAGCTAACCCCAGTCTACGGGTAATAATGACTTCCTTTCCCCCCTCTGATAGGTGAATGGCACTCAAGTCAATGTTCCATTTATAACTGGGTTGGCAACGAAAATCTACAGCAGTGAGGGGTTTCTGGTGATCGATACCAGCCCTGACATCCAGATACACTACAATGGTTTCAACATCATTAAGATCAGCATCAGTGAGAGGCTGCAGAACAAAGTGTGTGGCCTCTGTGGCAACTTCAATGGGGACCTGACTGATGACTATGTGACCTTGCGGGGGAAGCCAGTGGTGAGCAGTGTGGTGCTGGCCCAGAGCTGGAAAACCAATGGGATGCAGAAGAGGTAAGGGTGTCCAAAGAGCTCACACCGCGGGCTGGTGGCTCCCAGTCTTCCCACAGCCACGGGGGTGTCCTCTCTTTAGCATCACCATCACCCTTCCTCTCCTGCAGAGCTGAGCCCAGGGCCTTTGGAGTTCCAATGCTGCACCAAGTACATCAGAGGCCCCAGGAATTTTTGAATCCAGAGGAAGGAACTGGACTTAAATGATATGACTCTGAATTATTGTGTCATCCAGCCCTCAGATAATCAGGAGAGGGTCACCAGGGTTAGAATCAAAAGTCATGACCTAGCCAGGACCTAGACTCACCCGCTGGAGGTGGAATTAAGAGTTGACTCAGAGGAAGAAAGGTGGCCCTTTGCTCCCTAATGGTGGGCCTAATTGAGTGACCTTGACTCTTTCCAGAAAGCTTGAGTGTGGTCTGGCAGGCAAGAGTTGGTGGGAATCAGGAAAGCCTTTTTGAAAACGTAAGTCACAGAGGTTGTCATCAGGTCTGCCTCTGGCCAGCTGAGATAGAATGAATTGAACAAGTTAGTCCAAAGGTTCTTGATGTAGGGTTTCCCTGGGCTGATGAATCATTTTGCTAACTTTCTGGATCTATAGTTAGGTTTCTCTTTCCTGGTATTTCTTTACCTGTACAATGGCTCAAGTCCTTCAAGTTCTACACATCAGGTATCAGTTTACCCAAGTGTAGAAGTGATGCTCCAAGCCCTCTTCAACCTTGTCCCACACATAAAATGAATCATAACTTTATCATGTGTTAAACCATCCTATGAATTGTAAGGCCCAGAGCTGCAAAGGACTGTGGATAATATGTAGTCCAGTTTCTTCCTTTCCTTGGAGAAATAGAGGCTACAACAATGACTTATTTATATAAGGAGACAGTGTTAAGTGGAAAGCCAGGATTAGAGCCCAGGATTCCTAATTTGATGCTTTCTCTACAGTGCCACTCAGTGACCCACAGGTAGAAAAAAGATAGCTTTGGACATTTAAAGCCACTCTGGGTTTTCCAATGATAAGCCAAGTTCTGTTTTTCCTGAGGAGTTCTGATTCTGTTTTCACTCTTTCCTTCCATTCCTCCTTCCTTTCCTTCCTGCTCCCTTCATTTTTTTCTTTATAAACTATCTTCTTGTGAACGTTTTGCTTTGGGTCTTTGATTGCTAAACTAGAACTGGGTTAAGAGGTTCCTGAATTTCCCTTCAAATCTTTAATTCTTTCATCTATCATTACTATTATCATCGTTATTCTGTCAATACCTGTTAATGGTTATTATATCACTGAATGATATCAAAGTGCTAGCTGTTACTATATCAATGTCTGCCTTTCATATGGCACTTTGGCTATGAATTATTTTATTTTACCTTCACTCTAGTCAAGTGATCTAAACACTAGGAATTACTGCTTCACTCTCTTAGCTGGTTAGAGACTATTGATACTTAGTTCTTTGAAGGGTGCATAGTTAATTTTCATGGGAACAGCCTACTGCACTAACTTGTAGAGCGAGCACAACAGGTACAACAGACGTGGTCTTACCTTCCATGGGAGAACTCAGGTGGCTGTTTTTGCTTCACTTATTCTGACCAGACCTCTCGCCCCCAGCTGCAACGAGCTGCAGTTCTCACAGTATGCAGCCATGTGTGACAACGTGCACATCCAGACAATGCAGGGCGAGGGTTACTGCCTGAAGCTCACAGACATGAAAGGCTTCTTCCAGCCCTGCTATGGGCTCCTCGATCCCCTCCCCTTCTATGAGTCCTGCTACCTGGACGGCTGCTACAACCACAAGAAATTCCAGCTGTGCGGCTCTCTGGCTGCCTATGGGGAGGCCTGTCGCTCCTTCGGCATCCTTAGCACCGAGTGGATTGAGAAGGAGAATTGCTGTAAGAGAATTATTTTATTTTTGCAGATTCATTGCTGGAAGCATGGCTTTGTCTTGGATGACCTGCTCTCCTCATCTTTACTCATCAGCCTGCTTCCAGGGGTGGAGAGTAGGGAGCTGTGAGGTGTGCAGTATCTATCCAATGAGGGGCATTTCCAGGACGAGATGACCCCCCCTGCCATTTTTATCCAAAGATGGAATTTGAAAAGGAAACTTGGGAGGATGAGGTTCTCTGGGTTGGAAGAGCACAGTTCAGTGACTTCTGAGGCGAAGGGATATAGTCTGGTTCTGCTGTTTGTTAATTTTCCAAATCCAGCTCTTCCTTGGCCCCTTTAACATGGGTCAGAGCCCATATCACAAGGGGAAGGCCTATGGCAAGTGACAAGTTGAGTTGGGATTGAGCCGGTTATATGTGCCTGGCTCAAAAGGAAGCTGAAGTTGGATTTGTGAAGGGATTCCAAATATGAAATTAGATGGTCAAATTTAGATTTGTGGGTTCATTTATTTTTTTCTATAGTAAGAAAATAATTTCAATGTGTGTAGTATTTCCATTATTCAATTTGTTCATTTTCTTATCATGTTAGTCAAATGAATGGAGCAAATATAAATATATATGAACACATATAAGTTTGTAACATACATATGTGTGTATCCATATACATAAGTGGCCACTCCCATCAATGCAGTATGATACTGTGACCAACAAACAGAATGTGTGTTTGTACTCAGAGACACATTCCTGTTTTCAGAACCCAGGACCATTCCAGGACTATACATGCACATTGGTAAATTTATAGACTAAACCTGATCAAGTGTGGGAATATACTAAGGTCAGAACCTAAAAACAATGTAGTTAATTAAAATATATATTCAGTGATCTCAGGAACTTAAGAAAATTACTAGTCTGTTGGAAATGAACAGAAATGTTTTGTTTGGTAACTAATATTTTTACTCTGCTATGCTCATAAGAAATACCTTAAATACCTTTCAAATGAACTGTGTTTGAACTTTGAAATTTGTCTGGAGTCTCTAGACATCCACACATCCACAATTCCTCAGTTTCCTTTTGTGGAAGAGCATGTTTGCCAGTTAGAAGATAGACGACCACATTTTTAAATGAGTGTTTTTCTTGCTGTGAGCTATAAACTACTCTTTCTTTCTGTTGTCCATTCTTTCTTTAGTCATTCTCATACCACACTTTAAATTGTTTAAAGAAAAAAGTTTTAAACAAAGTGCTATCAGTTGGTAAATCTCACAAAGTGCTACCTGAATATCTTACAGGTAGTGTTCTCTGTTGCAGAAATATTGTTCATAATATCATGATGATGCTGTCTTATGGAGACTTATGTTTTCTTTTACTTCTTGCCAGTTTGTCAAAACAGCATCATTAATCTCAGTCACTGCTGGTGAATTGTACGTAGGCTTTTGCTTTGTTTTTATAAAAATCAAATAGAGGTGTATGGAGAACGTGAACCATGAATCAAAGAAGTGCTAGTATGGGGACCCTTTCTGGGATCTTACTGGGCCTACAGTTTTCATTTTTGACAAATACTTATTGAGAACTAACTATGAGGTGGCTGGGTGTTGGGAATATAGAGACAAATGATTTGGACCCTACTCTTTCTACAAATATAAAGATATGAATGTAAATAGTTATTACATGAGAGAGTAAGTGCAGTAATTATGGTATATCTTCACAGTTAAGTGTCTGCGTTTCCCATCTTTACCACTTCCTTTCAGTGGTGATCTAGGGCAAGTTTAGCTATGAAGCAGGGGTTAGCTTGAGGAGTGCTGTGAGGGTCAAACACACTAATTCAGCTAAAGCCTGAGGCATAGTTACCAGGCCCATAGCAAGCACCCAATCACCATTACTTTCTGGAAGGTTGCTCTGTAGGTTAATTTGCAGCTGCCGTCTAACCATTTCCAATTGCACTAAAGTAACATCTCCTCAGTGTAACCAAATGCTACTGTATGTTGGCGTGAAAATCAAGTTGTGTGTGTTCCCGTGTGTTTTCCTTTTTAGCAGGAGTGGTTGAAGATCCCTGTGTGGGGGCAGACTGTCCCAACCGAACCTGCGAGCTGGACAATGGAAGAGAACTGTGCGGGTGCATTGAGCCACCTCCTTATGGAAACAGTGAGTGACAAGTACCATCTCGCCATGCACAAGGCCCAGTCGGGGAGAAAACAAATCTATATCTAGGATGGATAGTTAGATAGATAGATAGACAGATCTTAGCCAGTTCCATAGAAGTCAAAGTTCAACATCAGAGAAATCCAAGTTGATCTTTCAGACTCATGAGGAAGTAAGATGGTTTGACACCAACATGAAAGATTTATGAGAGAGCCAGGTGCCTTAAGACTGGTGTAAAGCCAGCTTGATCTGGCCCAAAGCCTTTTGGTCCTGAAGACACAAGTGAAATGTTTGAACAAGCTAGGACTACTGGTCTTATTCCTAATTGTAGTTCCCTTAAGGTAGAAATGACCTTGTCTTTCGTGAAGCCCACCTGGATGCCACTTGAAGGGGAGCTGGTTTGCCTTCCAGCTCCACGGCCTTTCCTAAACTACACAACTCAGAGGCAACGGCTAAATTTATCATCCCTTGAGCATGAAAGCCTAATTAACTAAAAGGCTCCATGGAAGGGGACAATGTGCTTCATCCAGGCAGATAAAAATACTTCTCTCTGTTTCTACAGTGCTTATTAGCTGGTGTTTATACACTCCGTGAAAATGTCAATTGGTGTATCACTGAGTCAAAGAGCCTGGTACCCACATGGGATTCACCAGGGTCCTGCTGAGCTGCATTGTGCCAGGGCTTTGGGTCAGGCCAGGCCAGTGCTGTTGTACCTGCAGGGCATGCACTTAGCCTGGCCATAGTATGCTAGCTTCTGTGTGTCACTTACAGAAATGTAGCTGCCACTAGTGTATGTGGGAGGAAGGCATGGGTTTATAAAGAAAAGACAAAAGACAATTTATTAGCATTTTTATCTTTTGAATAATGCTCTACCAATGTGCAAGTTACTGCTTTGAATGAATTCATATGCTCATTTGATGTGATCACAGAGTAATTAGAAATGCTTGCAGCCTCTGAGTGGAGATCATTTTCTTCCTCCTTGGAAGGATGGCCAAGGGACGCCATCCCTACCCCTGCCACAAGCTCAACTCCCACTGATAGGTTTTTCCTAACAACTGTTCCCACAGACTCACATGACATCATCGATGCAGAGGTGACCTGCAAGGCGGCCCAGATGGAGGTGTCCATATCCAAGTGCAAGCTCTTCCAGCTAGGCTTCGAGAGGGAGGGTGTGAGGATCAATGACAGACAGTGCACTGGCATTGAGGGGGAAGATTTTATCTCCTTTCAGATCAACAACACCAAAGGGAATTGTGGGAACATCGTGCAGGTGAGAACATAGGGCAGGAAAGAGCACCTGGCAAAGGTAGTGACAGTTCCTGGCGCTTCCACGTGGATTGATCTTAAAGCCAGGGACAGAGTGATCTACTTAGACATATGCTCTTTGGGGAACAGCAAAAGGCATATGCAAACTGAGAAACGGCAAGAGAGGTGATCGTTTGGTGCTAAGCAATTATTGAACTGAAAGAGCTTTGTAAGCCATGTGTTTCTTTCCTGGCCTGCTGTCATCGTTTGTTCTGTCTAGCTGCAAAATTGTTGTTACCTCCCTTATGCATCCATTGTCTTTCCATGTAAATGTAGCCTGGCTCAGCTAATTTTGAGGGGTAAGGTGTCACAAACATCATTAAGAGTTGGCTGCAGAAATACAGTGAGATTCCAACATTCGTGTCCAATTTTGCAGTGTATAGATTAGCAAAGCACTTGCTTCTCTTCTTGTTCCCTCCTGCAGTGTGTCTTTTATTCATGACTGTGTTCATGAATGTTTTTATCAGAGGGAGATGTAAAACCCCCATGTTCATTTTGGTAGTTGTAGGCATGTCTAGTAAAAGGTTTGGTGGAGATTTTGAATTAAGGATTGAGAAAGGAGTTTCATATCCATTCATTTTCCTTTGCAGTGGAAACTTCTCATGCTCTCACTGGTTTGGGTTCCCACAGATAACTGTGGGCTGGTTGTAGTTAGAATTCAGTAGTACATGAAATCTACTTTCTGTGGGCATTCAAGGTTGTCAGACTGAAGGGTGCTGTTGACATCTATTCCAGTACTTTTACCTCCAGTAAATGCCAAGACTAGCTCCAAACCAATTTATACTGGCCCCTGGGTTATGTATGGAATGGAGCCACTTCTCTGCTTTCAGGGATATGGATTTGAAATGCAAGCCACATATTCACTCCCAGATTTAATGATTTCTGACCTTCCCTTGCTCTGCAGTCCAATGGCACTCATATCATGTATAAAAACACAATCTGGATTGAAAGTGCCAACAACACTGGCAACATCATCACCAGGGACCGCACGATCAATGTGGAATTTTCATGTGCTTATGAGTTGGATATCAAGATCTCCCTGGACTCTGTTGTGAAGCCTATGCTAAGGTGAAAGGATTTCATGGGCTGAACTCACTGCTTTCTCTTTCTTTGACAGTTGAGGTTAGCATAATAACAATTGCTAGCATTTGTCTTTGAAGCACCAGGGAAAATATAATACCTATCTCCAGAGCCTAAATGTTTTAGACCAGCACTGTTCAATAGAACTTTCTGTAATGATAGAAATGTCCCATATGTGAACTATCCAATAGGATTGCTACATGTGGTCATGGAGCATTTGAACTGTGGCTCAGGAGGACTGAAGAATTGCATTTTTATTTTATTTAACTTTATTTCATTTAGTAGGAGCCAGATTAGACAGTGCAACCTTAGGCAATACTACTGCTTCATGATTTCTCTTCTCTCTGCTTTTTCAACTTGAAAAATGGTAGGTAATTTAATAAGTAGAATTATTTTGAGTTCCCTGACTCATGTCCCTTTCTCTTTTAGTGTCATTAACCTGACAGTTCCAACCCAAGAAGGCAGCTTCACCACCAAGATGGCACTCTACAAAAATGCTTCCTACAAACATCCTTACCGCCAGGGGGAGGTTGTGTTGACAACTCGGGATGTGCTGTATGTAGGAGTCTTTGTGGTTGGAGCTGACTCTACACATCTGATCCTCACCCTCAATAAATGCTATGCCACCCCCTCCCGTGATAGCAACGATAAGCTCCGATACTTCATCATCGAAGGAGGGTAAGTGGCCTCTAATTCGACGAAAGTGTCACAGCCTTTTGTATATTACCTACACTTCTTTTTAGGGAAAGGAATAGAAACTAGCATTTGTTCATATCTAGACAACCTGCCTTTTGTATCAGTTAATTCATTTAATTCTTTAAACAACCTATGAGGTAGACTATATATGCCTCATTTTATAGAGGAGATCCAACAACTTGGCTAAGGTCACATAGCTTGTTAGTGGCAGAGACCTGTCATAGGGGACTTACCACAAGCTGTTTATTACCACTGTGATCAAAAAGAGAACTGATCTTCAATTTGAGATGAATGTGGAATTCTGCAAATGAAAGAGGTAATGAGACTAACTAAAGGCTATCAAAATAAAAAAGAAGGGGCCAGTGATGTAGCTTAGTTGTTAGCACTTGCCTAACATGCACCAAGGCCTTGGGTTCAATTCCCAGCACTGCAAAAATAATAAAATAAAAAAGAAATTAGAATGCAGTGCCCCTCCCCCTTATCTGAGGGAAACACATTTCAACACTCCCACTGGGTGCCTGAAATCATAGCTAGTACTAAGTCCTATAATATATATGCAAACCTATAGTGAAGTTTAATTAGCAAATTAGGCACAGTAAAGTATCAACAATGATAATAGTAATAAAATAGAGCTCTTATAACTATATTGTAATAAAAGTTATGTGAACATGGTTTTTCTCCTTAAAATATCTCATTTTACTGTGCTCATTCTTCTTCTTGTGATGATGTAAGGTGATACAATGCTGGTGGGTGAGATGAAGTGAGGTGCAGGATAAAGGCATTGTGTCATAGCTTTAAGCTGTTATGTACTGAGATACCACAATAGTCAATCTGATAATTGAGATGGCTGCTAAGCAACTAGCAGGCAAGTAGCTTATATAGTGTGGATACTCTGGCAAAGCAATGATTCATGTCCTGCATGGATGGGTGGGTCAGGAGGGCAGCATGGGATTTCATCATGGTACTGAAAATAGCACACACTTTCAAACTTATTATTTTTTTAATTTTCTATTTCATATTTCTCTACTGGGATTGAATATGGGTAACTGAAACTGTAGAAGGTTAAACTGTGGATCAGAGGAGTTACTGTAATATCCTGTGCTCAACAAGTTTGTTTTACTTACTGTTATAGGCCCACCGCCTCTTACATGTTCTGAAATATAATGGTTATACAACAAAATCTATTGAATGAATGAATGAGAATTGTATGGGCAAAACAAGAATGAGAATAATTGTCTTTATTTTTAAAACACACGGCTATGCCAGGCAATTTACACATATGATAATAGATTTTGCAATAATTCATTTTAAGTTTTATTGCATGCATAATTTATATGCAATGAAATTTACTTGCTTTAAATATAAAATCCAATGAATTTTTAGTAAATCTGCAGAGGAGTACAAACATCATCATACCCTAATTTTAGAATAATTCTATCACCTCAATAAATAATTCTTAAAGCAGGTGACTGTATTATTCAGAATTCTTTATGAGAACTCATAGAAGCCAATTTAAATTAGCTTACAAAAACAGGTATATAATGACAAAACTAAATCATGGGGTGTGTGATTTAGTTTCAGAGATTACTGGATCCAAGGAGCCGTCATGACTGTCCTCTCTCTGTCTCTCTCTCTCATTGACTTAGTTATGGCCTCACATTCTTACATCGTTGTCACAATGAGAAGAGAGCACATCTAGTTCCAGCTCTGGGAAGCCCAAGAAAGGAATGTGACTCTCCTATCTTGGATCACTTGCTAGTTCTTTGTTGGGGAAATGCACAGTTGGACTTTCCTGGCCTAGGTCAGCACCCGCCCATGTGGTGGGCGGGGTTTCTATGGATACTGCAATTCGATTTGTGATTGGAGCAGATGATAGGACCTCAAGAGAAGAGGGGTGTTGCTCTAGTCAAATAGTAGACATCCACAATTTTGCAGATGAAGCAGGCCTGGACAAGTTAGGCAGAGTTCACTCAAGGCTACCCAAGTAGCAAGGAGAAGACAAGGAATCTCTTAGGCTCTCTAACTGACCAGGTGTGGTCCAGGGGTGCTGTGGAATTTTCAGCAAAGACCTCACTAAGGCATTTGTGTGTCTGCCTTTTCAGAGGAAAAAGGAAGGACTTGGTGCCTACTTTCAATAATCTTTCAGTCCTCAATGCTGAGTTAACATCCTGCTTTCCTTTTCTCCATGTCTCTCCCCTTCCCCCTTATCTTATCCTTTCCCAATATAAAAGGGCTAAGATCTGAGCTACTCTACAAAAGCAAACCCAGATGACAGAGCTTGCGTCTTCTTTGAAGGACAAGGTAGCATTTAGCATTTTAAAAATAATATTTAATAGACTTGACCCAGAGAGGCAGAGTGAGCCAGCGTACATGTTCATAAATCTCAGCTTACCCCAGGGTCTGCCTGAATAAAGGCCTTCAAATTACACTGTTGTTAGGTGAGAAATATTTCATCATCAGGGAGAATTAGAATCCATCAGTCCTTCTAACCTCTCATGGAAGGATATAGTTACTGGGGTTTTTTCTACTGAACTTAAGAGAAAACATTTTAATGCTTAATTAATGAGAAGCGAAATGGGTCCGCTTGAGTATTGTGGAAAGGTCATTTGTTCCTCCCCAGATGAGTAAGGGGCAGAGACAGCACCAACTTCTACCAATAGCTCAAAAGTCTGGGGACCCACTAGCCAGAGGAAATGACAGGTGTTTCTTGTTTGCTCACTCTATGGAAGGTATCTCTCTACGGGAAGTGACCAGAAAGCTATACCTGCTCCCCTTGACCCCTTGCTCTGCTGCATGTTTTTCTGACACCTAAGCTTCAAGCCATGTTCCTCAGAGACAGTTGGTCTGGCTAAGAGGAAAAGTCTGTGTGAACATTAAGAGCTGCTACCATTTTAGAATCCATGAGCCTATTTAGGTTATCCAAATGAATAATAATGACAAGGAGAAGTATGGCACACCAAGTTTTTTTCCAAAGCATTCAAGAGACTATTGCCTTGAAAAGCAACTTGCATTTTGCCTAGAAGACTAATTACAAAACTTAATACGTGTGGGAATGCTGACGGATAACTTCAATTTTTAATTTTCCTTATTGCTATGCTATTTAATTCTGTGGGCTTGGGGAAAAGAAACATAAGAAAGAAAAAGAGACACCCATTTTATCCTTATCACTTAAAGGGCCTCTTGGCTCCCCTAGAGCCACAGTGGCTGTGGCAGCACAACCCATTCATTCATTCATTCATTCATCAATCCAACAAAGATTGTCAGACACTTGCCATGTGTCATGTGATGTTATTGGAACCACAGTGAGGACTGTGACTTGATTGGCACACTTGAGGAGCTCAACAGGGTGCTTTTGGCAAATCTGGGAAGACCTAATGTGGGCATGTCCCAAGGATATTTATACAGGAGGAGGTGCCATAGAGTGGGGTTAAGGACAGGGCAGGAGTTACGCATGGGAGGAACAGCAGAAAGATCTTCCAGAGGGGAACTTTTAGGTAGCTGAAGCAAAATCTCTGTGGCTGAGAAGTGTCTTGGCTGGAACTGGATATTGGCTCCATATCACAAGAAGGAAGGGAGTTGAGAAAGAAGGGGTCAGTTCTCCAGCTCATCCTTCCCACACTTCCTTCCCTCCAGCTCCTGTCTGCTTTAACGCGTGGGAGGAGTTCCCATAGGGTTTGAATCAGGGCCCCTGCCAACATCGATAATTAACTGAAGAAAGTACAGAGGAAGTAAGAACTTGTGTTTGTTAAATTGTTATCTGTAAAACACAGCATTATGAGGGGGTGGACCGAGATCCTGGAGCGTGGAGAAATTGAGCATGGTCCCTACTGTCATTTAGTTTTTTAACTGCAGTTAAGATACTAACTCAAAGTGGCATTCGCTGTTTCAAAACAAACAATAAAAACACGAGGGAGTGATAATAAATGACCAACCTATGCAATCCGGAGGTCACTTACAAATGCAAAATCATTATTACTATTTCTGACGGTTTTATGTGAAATGTGGAATTTTGAAATGAAGTTGAGGATTAACATCTAAGAGGAAAAACTGTGAAGCAAAGATTCCGTTATTTTTCTCTGACTAGGTGTCAGAATATTAAAGATAACACCATCGGTATCGAGGAGAATGGAGTCTCCCTAACCTGTCGCTTTCACGTCACTGTCTTTAAATTCATTGGCGATTACGATGAAGTCCATCTCCACTGTGCAGTGTCACTCTGTGACTCAGAGAAATACTCCTGTAAAATTGTAAGTGTAAAAATGAAATGCTCAGCCTGCACTCACTGCCCCAGCTTTCCCAACATGGTGACCATGGATACCAGGTGGCTCAATTGGAATCAAACATATTTGCTCCGAACACCAAAGATCTTTGGTGGGGAGAACATGATGGAAAATGTCCATTTGCTCCTCTGTCTTAGAAGTGCCAACTGGTCATTGGCTTAACAGCAGACAAGGGCCCCTCAACCATGGCACTGTTGACGTTTTGATCTGAATGATTCTGTTGTGAAGAACTGTCCTGTGTGCTCTAAAATGTCAGCAGCATCCCTGACATAAGTTCCAGTTATGTCTACCCTCTCCAGCTGCATTACCCTCCCCGACCAAAAAAAAAAAAAAAAAGTCTGCAGACATCACTAAATAGTCCCTGGGAGACAAAACTGGCCACTGTAGTAGTCTCAAGGAGTGTCTTGAGCCAGGCCAACTGACTCTGATGACCACTTGGTCAAACTCCACTTAAGCATAGAAGCAAACTCCTAGGCTCAGGATATAATTTATTCAAATGTCTCACAGCTCATCTGATCTGCTCAGGGCCTGAGGCTCTGGAGGGGTTCGGGGGAAAATATGAGGTAGAAACCCATCCTCTCTTCATGCGGGCTGACATCCTCCCCATGTATAAGCTACGTCCTTAAGCCTTGCTTGCACTGACTCAACCTCTGACATTCCATCTTGTGCTTACCCCATGTGTGCTGAGTCAAGATGTGAATTATGTCAGAGCTTCTTGCAGATGGTGACACATACATGAGTATCCGATGAGCTATGACAATCCTCATTCCTGAGCAGAGAGCCTCTTTGAATTGAATGCTAGTGTGGAAAGCATATTTAATTCTGTTCAACAGAAAGCGTCAAGTCCCGTTGGGCTTGAGATCAAGAATGCATTGGTTCTAATTAATCTGAGCAGCAATGGTGCCAGAGGCCGGAGCCACTGCCTCTTCTGGAGGTGGAAACATGGTGAAGAGTAAGTTATCAGCTTAATTGTGTGAAAATTTCCCTCTGGTGTTCTGTCTTTCAGAATTGCCCACAAAATTCTAGGATTGCCACAGATTATACAAAAGAACCCAAAGAGCAGATCATCTCAGTGGGGCCTATTAGGAGAAAAAGTACGTATGTTCTCTGAAACACACTATAAATTATTAAGACAGTGGGGTTGGGCATACTTCACCTGTGCTGTGGGTCTAGTGGATGAAGAGGTGACGGTGGGGACACCAGTGTGAGCAAACTGCTAGCTTCCTTGAGGCATCTTTTCATTGGCTTTTAAAAAGCCAATGACATCAGGCTTTATTCATCCTTTCCTCTGTTCAAGCCTCACTTGTGATGCAAGTTGAAGGGTTGAACTGTCAATCGTTAACTTGCTCACCTGCTCGTTTTCAGGACTGGACTGGTGTGAGGACAATGGAGGGTGTGAGCAGATTTGCACAAGCCGGGTGGACGGGCCTCTGTGCAGCTGTGTGACTGGAACTCTGCAGGAGGATGGCAGGAGCTGCAGAGGTAGGATCAGGAGCTAGGGAACTCAGGAAGCAACTTGTCCCAGAAGGAGAAACTCATATTTGAAGCCCACTGAGTCAGCAACTTACCTATGAAAATTCCAGAAACTAAGAAATAAAGACAGGGAAAATGCTCAGGGAATTCTAGCACCACTTTTTGTTTTGTTTTGTTTTTACCCTTTGGGTCCCTGGTCTTTCATCTAAAAGATGCAGATAATTAAAAAGAAGTTATCCAACTATTTTAGGGCCACTTACTGGCCATAAATCTGGCTGCCAAGTCTAAATTGGCTGGAGCTGGGGTTGAGATATTTGCTTCAGCGAACAAGATGGCAGACTTAGCACCTGGTTCTCCTGACATCCTGTGAAGGTAGCAGAACTCTCTTGAAGGTTGGAGCAATTCTGCTTCTTTGCAGACTTACTCAGGACATTTGGATAAAGTGGGGTTTTGGACAAGAAATTTCCTTTCTTTCCTGCAAAGATGTCTGAACCCTATAAAACTGACATTTTTTCCATAGAACTTATTTTGTTCCTCTCTATCCACAGCTTCTAATTCTTCAATTGAACTTCAAGTTTGGACACTTCTTCTCATCTTGACCCAGATTTCATTATGGCATTTTGTCTATAAATCAGGCATGACCTCGTAATTGACTCAAGGTTGCTATATAAAGTACTGTAATTTACTTACTTCACCTCCCTGTAGGATAAGAAGTGTGTGTCCCTAAGTCAAAGCGTGTTTGAAAGGACCCAGCATCTCAAAGTCGTGCCACCTTCCTCCAGTGCTCAGAGGTCTGGAGGTGAGTGACACTCCAGGTTCTGCTTTCAAAATATGCGACAGGGCTTCTAAACGCCAGTTGTGGAAAGCATATATTTACCTACTGTTTCCAAACATTTGTTGCTAGAAAACTGTTCACACAAAAAGCCAATAAAGGGAAAAACTCTGGTTACAGATGTCTGACCTGATAGCTAACCAGAGAAATCTGTCAAGCCACTGCTGTTTATGGACCCCAGATTTTACAGACAGGGCTGTTAAAATGATTTTGAAGTAATGGTAGGAAGGTTTGACGCCCTCTAAAGAATCTTTTGCTGTTTGGAAGCACGATCTCTGATACACACCTGTTGCTCTCTTCTGTCGTGCTGACCTTCTTCCTCACCTGCTGTGGCCTCCACCTTTGCCATGCAGACCTGGAGAACCTCACCCCATCCTGTCCCATAACCTCAGTCCCTCCTCTTTTTACAAATCAACCAAATAATTTTCATGGGTTTTTATCTTTAAATAAACTTTGTGTTCAAATATTCTCACCACTTGTTGGGCTGGAATCTTTCCTCTTGATGTTAAGCGTTGCACTGGATCACACGCTATGATTAAAAACAGAAAAGAACAGGCAACAACCACTGGACCAGGTGGGCACTGTTTAGCAGAGCTTTAATGTGCTGTGCAATGTTCCTGTTCGTGTGTGCTTACAGAGCCCTAGCACAGCATAAAGTTACTTTGCAGGAGAAGCAGGCCCCGTCCTCCTTTGTAAATGGTGTGTAAGCACACATTTACTATAATTAACTACAAGATGGAGGGCCTGCTAAGTGTATCCTGGAGTGCCTCCTCTTTTAAGGTTAAAAACAAAGTAAAACCCACTTCACAGTTCTTTTGCCGTTGTCTTAAATTCAAATTGGTAGCATTTTTGTATTTTTCTGTGAACTCTGAAAAGCAGAGCACAAATGCTTAGCATCCTTGTACACAGGCATGGTGCAATGGCTGCCGTCTTATGAGTCAGAGGCACCTGCACCACTCTGTCACTGGGCTGAAGAAGTGGGGTACAGAGGAATCTGCCGTGAGTTGCTTTGTTGTGCCAGACCCCACTGGGAGGGCCAAAAATTCCTGCTGATCCGGGCAGTCACACATGCTATGGAGCTAAGAGGATAACTGGTGTTGATAGAGAAAAATAGGTGTCTGCTTCTGCCTGGATATCTTAGGTTCTTTTGGGAAAATGCTGGGCATTGAAATAGATGAAGGAGTCAAACCAGCTATTCAAGCTGAGTCGCAATATTTCATCCTCACCGTGAAAGAACATGTTGGGTGCATGTTCTTTGTTTACATGAAAGCACAGCCTCTGACTTCAGGTCAGAAGATACCTGTGATCTATTGTACCATTTGCATTTGTGCCATGGAAGGTTAAGGCTTCCCAAATAGATTATGGTTTGAACATAATCACGTCACTTATTTACTTGAGTTCCTTAGATGAATTTTAAACAAAACCATTTAAAGAACAAATGATAGGTTACTTACTTGGTAACTGCTCTTGATTTTCATAATCATTAGAAATTATTAATTAAAAACTAAAGGGTTTTTTGAGCTTTTAAAGTTAGAGTGTCTTGCCACATTTTTGTTCTTGGCATCTGGCTTTCTCTGTCAAGACATCCTTTATGTGTCTGTCATTGGAGTATAAGCTACAGTTAACGGCATTGTTAACAGGAAACTCCGAGATCTCAGTGGCTTAGATGACAAGGATTTGCTTCTTGCTCATACAGTAGACTCCACCTCACTGCCTCCTGGAATGAAGGTTGATGGTGGCTTTGTTATCTTTTAATGCTTCCAGATCAACATGTAGCTCCAAGGTTCACCTTCGCAAAGAAGACCTCATGGAGGCTTTTTTCATGACTCTGCCCAGAAGAGTCACTTACTGCTGCTGTTCCCATTCCTTTAGCCAATGCAAGTCACGTGGCTGTAACTAACTGTTGGAGGCCCAGAGTGGAAACTTCCCATGTGCCTGGAAGGGAGACTGAAAATTAGTGGTGATGGCTTTCACCTTGTCTTCAAGGCATCACTTCTGGATCGAGAAAGTCTTCCTCAAATCTAAAACCACACAGACCTCTTAGTTAACTTCCTGCAGGGCAGAAGAACTTGGAGTGGCTCTGACCCTTCTACTTATTCTCGGCTCAAACACAGATCATTCAATGCCCCAATACCTTCTTTTTCCTCTCTGTACAATGAGAGCATTAAGTTCCTTTTCAAATATTCTTATGCTAGAAAATGACAGTAGCTATACATAAGCCATATGATAGTATACATTAAGATAATTCCAGAACATTACCTTTTCCTTTTACTTAAAAAGATTTGCCTGAAGGAGAGGAGAAATAAAAAAAAAAAAAAAAGCACATGCTTAACAAAGGTTAGAAGAGTAAGTTAAATGAGAATCTTGTTGACTTGGTATTTGTATGATATCAAAAGAAACAACATCTGGGGGGCTGGCATTTGTGACAGCTGGGGATTCTGTAATTAGTTTCTTAACTAGCACTAGATACATGCTTTATTCCAAATCCTAATGGCAAAACTTGACAGCATTAATTGTTTAACATAGTCTAATATTCTAACTATTTTTAGAACCATTTGACATTTAGCAAGAGCTTTAAATCTAATAAAATTTCTTTCAACCAAAGGAATTAAGTAATTATCAAAAGATGACAACCACGCAGTGCTAAGGTAACAAAGCATTATTTCTTTACTAATTCTGAATTAATTAAGCAGCTGCCCCATCATGAACCTCCCAGCCTGTCTCCCAAAACTCAGGGTATTTCTCCACTTTGTATTCATTGTAATTTGGTCCTGTTTGGAACCGAGTGGGGTTTTTCAGTGCCCTGATGTACTGACATCTGCAGCACAGCCCAGTGGAAAAAAAAAAAAAAAAGAAAATCAAACAGCACCCTCTAGTGTCCACTTTTAAATTTTGCATGAAGCCAAAATGTATATCAAAAACCACCAATCAAATTATGATTCCCGCCCCACCACCCACACCACCCCACCAACCTTAGATACAGAACATTACCAGCATATAGCGTTAGAAAACACATCAAATGCCAAGGACGTTTTATGGAGAACAGTATGAGATTTATTTTTATGCAGACAGTAAGCCTCATTCCAGGAAAATACCAGCCTTTGGCATCCCATGCAAATTTTGCCCTTAATATCTATTTCTTTAATGTGGTGACAAAAATAGCTGCCGAGAAAAATTAAGTATCTTTTAAAAATGTTGAGAAATAAACAATCTGATCAAGAAAAGCCCATGAAATATTTAGTGGCCTTTTTCCTCCAGCAGAATGTGAAATACTTTCCCATGCATCTACCACGTAACAGTGATAACTCCGCTCTGACTAATGGAAGGCTGTGTTTGTGATGGTTTAATTATGTTTGCTGAAAAACGACTCCTCTAAGAAAACATCTCTGTGGCAGAGGGACAGATCTCAGTGTCTATAGATAGAAATAAAATACAAAAGACTCATCGTTCCATGAAGAACTCAGCAATCAAATTCTATTTGCTAAGGAAACAAATGGAGAAAGAATCTTTACTGTACATTTTGTAGTGTGTTTCTGTTCACATGGAGCCTCTAGGCTAGCTATTGCTTAATCCAACAGCATAAAATACTGATTGTGAAATATTTTTGAAACTGAGATATTCTCCTGTTAGACAAAATAACAATAACCTTATGCTAATGTAGCATCTATCATAATGAATGTTTCACTACCTTATTCAATATTGTTCAGGCTTGAATTGTGCAGTATTTTGGCAGAGAAATTAAAGAAGTGTTAATTTGCAGTTATACCATATTTGTCATAAAATACTAAGTACTAAAGAAAAACACAAACCCACTTATATATGTGTGCTTTTCCATGTAGGTTTATTCAGTATTTCCCAATTTCTAATGAGATATATTAGGATGGTAATAGGCTTTTTAGAACCCATGAAACAATTCTTGATTTTCTCCAACTCTTAAATTTCTTGCAGAATACTTTAGAAAACAAAAACCCACTGATGTTGCTCTGTTTTAGTTAAGAAAAATATATAATTTTATTGAAGAAGATAACACATTTGATTACCTTAAGCCTTGAAAATCTTTGCAATGGATCTACGCAGAATTAGTTGAGATTTTTTAATTTAAAGACTATTCTCATGCAAAACTTTGTTACCAAGTTAATTACATTTACCCAAGCCAGAAAAGGCGTGATTCCTTGTCTTCTCCTCTCCTTACCTAAATTCAGTAATCATCCTGCTCCTCGTGGTTCATATAACCACATGGACGGAATCTAGGAGCCGCAAGTGTGTGTTCATTCACAGTTTGCATGAGTCTTTGCATTGACAACTGCACATGCTGTTAAGAATATCTGCGTCTGAATGGGGCAGGGAGTCAGTCCTCCCTTCTGAAGAATCCTGACCAGAAAGCAATTTGGCAAACTAATTCAACAGAGGGAAAATGATTCAACATATAATGTGAAAATGCCTAGGTGTCATATCAGAATATTCACACCACAAAATGAGGAAAAGACCTGTGAATAGTAAAGAACACAATTTAAGATCTGGGCCTTAGACAAAGCCCCAGATTCTAACTGCTTAGTTTGGACCTCCAAGAGAGAAATGAGAAGATTCTTTATTAATTTAAGATTAGCAGAAATGTAGTGAGTCTAAGGATGTCTTGCTCCTACAGATTTTATTTATGTCTCCCAAGTGTTAGCATGTTCTAACTGTATTTTTAACCTGTCCTGATTTCATAGAAAATTACTTACATTAGTTGACTTTCCATGGAACTCAGGAACTAAGTGAACAGAGGGCAAGAAATTTCACCACCTCTACCTAAAACTATCCCTAGGACCATAATG